GAAACACGAATGGGACAGAGGTACCCAAGCAATCGACTTTTGTACAAAGTCTCCCTCTGGTCTATAGGTCTATAGGAGAGATCTATGCCCTGCAGTGGACAGATAATGGCTGAAATGATGATGATGATGTCATTAGTCTTGTCTTTTCCGGAAACTTTTAATAAATAACTAAATCGTAGTATTATTAAACCTATATTTCATTTTCGTTCTAATATATATTTTATTGCTTTTCTTTTGATAAACTAAAGATATGAAATATTGAAATAATATTTTATTAGAGATAATTAAAACGTCAGAAGTATACTAATAACGAATTTATAATTTAATCAATAATTTACAAATGCGTCAAGTCATCCTTATATGTATTATATGTTCAAAATATTCCAAATACAGACTTCAGTTATTATCTTAAACTTTATTTTAAAAACAAAAAAAATATTATGTAATTAAAAATCCCAATAGAATAAATTTGAGGACAAAATAAAAACACATTATCTAATATCTATACTTAACTATTTCACAATAATTTGTATTAAAAAATCTAATAGTTTGAGAGTTGTCTACACTTAAACTTACGTATACAATAATTTAATTAAACACTAATCAAATATTTACACAGCTTTTTTACATATTTATTAGCAGAAGCAATTTAATTATTATTAACATAATAATTAAATTATTAAAAAATCGATCGAAATCATTAGCACCCACTTAGGAGTGTAATAAAAATTATGATTCCTCTATGAGCATATTAAGTTAACATTTCACCGAATCGTATTCGTGTTACCATGAGAGGCTCTACATTTTTTTCTTATATTTTTTGGCTAATGTTTTTTTTAGGGAAAACAAGTACGCACCTTCACTGGTAAAACAGTTTCTTACATACGATGTCTATATACATATATAACGGGAAATTAACGAACTCACCGTGCTGACAGTTTCCCACAATTGTTTTGACTTCATCCAGAAGTATTCTTCAGGGGGTAAACGGCTCTTTAATTTACGCGGATAGGCGATCGTCTCGAGGCGAGACGCTGTAACGCAAAGCACAATGAGTTTAAGTTCACGTCATATATGTATGTAGATATTGTATTAAAAAAGAACATAAGATTTAAAAATATTTTTTCCTTATATGATTCTAATGATTTCGATTTCATCTGTATTTATCATACCTACTCGTATATTTTACAAATGCATGATACGTTTTGTATTAATAACAAGCATATTGTAGACATCCATATTTTTCTTAAAAAAATAATACTTCACCTGCATTTAGGTATCTACTTATATTTACTTAAATTAAATCTGTACCTGTAAAATTACAGTAATTATGCACGATATGGTTAATCACGCTTTATTGCAAATGGAAAATATCCAATTAGTACTCATCAAACCGTGAGCATATTTTTTTGTATGTATTGTATATATAAGAGCTTGTGTAAACTAAATTGTATATCTAAAGTGTAGAGGGTCACAGTGAAAGATAATATTCTTTAAAACAACAATATATATAATACGTATAGATACAAGACAAGACAACCATTTGAATAGAAACAAAAACCGTGTAGAAAAATAATATCAACATATATATGTGGCCAGACTTAAATTTACATTACGGCCACAAAGAAGTTTCAATACGCCCCTTTAAATTTAAGTCTCAGTTAAAAGAAAACAATTATTAACTGATGGGTTTAATTCCCATTTTGTCCACACACGCATAATGTTTAGAAATAGGTAGCGGTTTCGTCAATATATCCGCTACCATCGAATCAGTGGGTACATGTCTCACTTCAATATCACGACTGTCCCTTAACACGGTCCTGATGAAATGATATTTAATATCAATATGCTTACTGCGAGCATGGTATACGGGGTCTTGCGCAAGAAACAGCGCCCCTTGGTTATCGGCGTGTAAAGTTGTGTGTACGTACCTAAGTTGTCCAATTTCGCCTAATAAACTATTAAGATAAACGGCTTCTTTCATCGCTTCAGACAAACTCACATACTCAGCCTCACATGTCGACTGCGCAACCATCCTTTGTTTTTGTGATTTCCAACAAATACTCGCACCACCTAAAATGAAAACATAACCAGAAAATGAACGCCTATCCAATAAACAATTACCCCAGTCTGCGTCTGAAAATCCATATAGAGACTTACCTGTCTTCCTATATATTAAACCGAAATTTTGTGTTTTCTTCAAGTAACGAAGAATTCTCTTCGCTGCTTTCCAGTGACACATTTCAGGGCTATTTGTGAATTGAGCAAGCTTAGCAACGGAATTCGATATATCAGGCCTCGTACCTACGCTCAAGTACATCAAGCAACCAATAATCTCTTTGTACGGCCACTTAGCTCGTTCTACGACTGTTTGATCTTCGTCATTCTCCACAAGTTTTATCAAACACTCTTTCAATAACTTAGGGACCTCCATGTATATCTCTTCATCCAAGAATCCATTTAAATAAGCTGTATTAATATCTAAATGGTGTATTTCCATATTTAACTCAACTGCTAACGCCGACAGTAATCGAACTGTATCCAATCGCGCAACGGGCGCGAAAGTCTTGTAATAATCAACCCCAAAACGCTGACTAAAGCCTTGTGCAACAAGTCTAGCCTTTTTCTTAGTCGTCTTATCGACATTTAATTTCGTCGTCAATACATATCGACATCCAACTATATTTCTATCTGTTGGTCTTCTTATAATTTCTAACGTATCTTTCTGGACTAAGCTTCTAATTTCTGAAAGTATCGCTTTCTCCCATTCTTTTCGATCCTTGCTTTGAAAAACATCTTCCAAAGTCATTTGTGCCGTCCCTACGAAATCAACAAATTCGTTAACAGGAACTTCCTCTATATCAACATCTGCTTCATTTTTTTGCTGTTGTTGCTGCTCAACTTCGACCATTTTATAAATTTTCTTTGGGCGCCCTACTTGACCAGTTCGCTGTAATTTTGGTCGACCAGAGCTTCGTTTCAGTATTGAACGTCCGGAATCATCACTACTGGTTATCCGATCTGTCTCAGGATTTGGTTCAATAATGGACTGCAACTGGCTATCTTCCTCCTGTGGTTTGTTACCAATATGTTTTTCTATCATTTCTACTTGTATATCTGTCTGTGGCACCTCATTTTCAGGCAAGCATTCTTTACAATCCCTAGAGGTAGAAGGTTGAATTTCAAAATCGATAAATTTTTTACTAGTGTTATCCATCAGCTTCTCTTCCTGCCCTAAAGACCTATTCTCTGAAACTGCGTCTTCATGAAATTTCACGTCCCTTGCAACTACACATTTCTTTTCCTGTGGTAACCATACTCTAAATCCCTTTGATGTTCTTGAATAACCTATTTCAGTAATTTTTGCTACAGAAATTAAATTACTTCTTAAGTCAGGTACGTACAGAGTATCATGAAATTCTATTTCATTTACAGAGTTACCATTACACGCCGATAAACAAACGGTGCCCTTACCTTTAATGTCTGTGCTCAAGTTAGTGGCTAACTTTAACTTTTCGGTCGCGTCGGTCAGAAATTGAAATTTGCGCGGATTGTTACAGAGATGAGATGTACATGTCTAATATCCAATCATCTTTCTGCATTATGTTTACAGCATTACATTCATCTGAACCTGAAACATTGGATAACATTAGACTAGAATTCTTAAAATTATCTTCCGCAAAATTTCCCTTATAACCTTCTTTCTTCTTTTTACATTCCGAAGCCTTATGACCAACTCTATGACATTTATAACATCTAAACTTGAAGTCAGGTTTGGTAATAACTTGTTTTCCATACTTTTTTACGATTGCAGTACATTACTCCCTCTGCCAGTACACTCGTCATTTGCCTTCTTGACTCATATTCCTCTAAAATTTTAACTTTAAGGTAGTCTGGTTTCGGTAAATCATCTCTCGATTCTACCGCACACCTGAAGTTTTCAAAGCTTGCCGGTAAACTATATAGCAACATTATCGACAGCAGATCCTCGTGTATCGTCACACTCATATCTCCCAGCTTATCTACAGCATCAAAAAATCCATTCAAGTGGTCTTGCAAGTCATCGGCTTCATTCATTTTATGTAAAGTGAGTCGTTTTAGTAAGGTTGCCTTTTTTGCTGGACCTTTCGAAGCATATAATGACTCTAATTTCATCCATACTTCGCGTGAAGTTGTGCACCCTTTTACGTGCCGCAGTTCGCTACTGCTCATGGATAAAATTATATCCGAACGTGCTTTTTCATCTTCTGCTTCCCATTTTTCCAATTCTGTTACATCGGTCGGTCTTGGCTTACGACCACTAACATAGGACCAGGCCTCATTCTTTATGAGTAGTGCCTGTGCATGAATCCTCCAACTATCGTAATTCTCACGATTAAGAGGTTCAAATCTTATGCTCGAACTCGCCATTGTCTTTTGTAAAAATTACAAACTTACCGAATTATCACTTATTATATATAGTTCTTTACTTTGTCTCACTTATTGTGCAGGCCCATAACCATTGTAGAGGGTCACAGTGAAAGATAATATTCTTTAAAACAACAATATATATAATACGTATAGATACAAGACAAGACAACCATTTGAATCTCACCAGAGGGAGACTTTGTACAAAAGTCGATTGCTTGGGTACCTCTGTCCCATTCGTGTTTCAACCGTGAAGCAGTTGTGTTTGCATGGCTGTGTTTCGGTTTGAAGGGTGGGATATGGCGTGAATTTACTGGGTACAGAGGAATAACACCTGAGTCCTCAGGAATGGCAACGCATGGGGGGTATCATGGGCAAAACAGTATACTCTGTTATGTCCATGGTACTGCTCATGTCTATAGGCGACGGTTACCACTTTCCATCAGGTGGGCCGTCAGCTTGTTTGCCATTCTAAGTTCCATAAAAAAAAAAAAAAAAGAATAGAAACAAAAACCGTGTAGAAAAATAATATCAACATATATATGTGGCCAGACTTAAATTTACATTACGGCCACAAAGAAGTTTCAATATAAAGGCTTGTGCAAACGAAACATTTATAGAAAAGCTTAAAACAACGAGACTTGGTGCATCAAGTAAGGTAGAATGGTGATTTTAAAAACGTAACAGATCATCAATATTAATTAAGCTTCTAACATTCAAGTTTTTTTTTAAAGGTTGAGCCTGGAACTTAGATAACTGTTGGGAACAGTTTACAGCATTGGTATTAAAGCTGATACGATAAAATATCTATCATCTAATAATGCAACGAGGGTTTTTTTCGTATACAAAGACTTAGGTAGTCTATGGACTTTTGAGATAATGTTTCGATAAATAACAGAGACTTCAATCATGGTAAACTTAATATGGGACACATTCGATAGTAAACCCTAGCGGCGAAGACCCTTGGCGAAGATATTTTTTAATATATGTACACACACAGAAAAGAATTTAGATGAATTGAGGAGCTTTTTGAATAAGTAATATAAGTAGATACCTTCTATTATTCTTGGTCTCTATTAGGTATAACATTCATAGTATACGATTGATTTACACTTCTTTTCAGCAATAGTTCATTAAGTTAAATCTGTTTATATACGAGCAACTTCATAGAGTTTTTAATTATTTATCTAATTAAACGAGAAATTGCACTTATCGTTTCAAAGTTATAAAAAGCACTATGTACTGTACTAAATTTACTACACGGAACTTACAAGGATACTATACATCATTAACTATAGTTTTATTTCATGTAGTCATTGTTTTCTATTAACATAACACAAATCACTTGAACTAGAACACTTTTGTAATAAAATAATAACACATTATCTTATCTCACAATCAAAATTGTAATTTAAATGAATTTGAGAACAAGTTCATTAATTACCATTTATTTAGATACTTTTCAATTGCAATTTTCATCTTTTATTTTTAAATAAATTAAATTACTTTTAAAAATTCACAAACTGTCAGTTATAAACAATTTTATTCTTCGATTTCCTGAATTCCTCAGATTAAACCTCATTTCACTAATTTTGAATTTGAATTTAGAACGGTAGATGCGTCGACTAGTGCATCGGCTAAGATGTTGGTTGTTCAGGGTTGTCACGCGTCCCCGCGTGCTCCAGTCGTCAATGAGGTTGCAATGAGTTAAGTATGTTCATGTTTATAGCATGTTGATGGCTTGGTGGACCTCCAAGAAAGCTCAGTTGTGGCCTAGTTGCCGCGGCCATAGCAGCAAAGAGAGGGGGTGCGCCTCCCCCGCCGAATAGGGCAAAGGACGGAGGCAAAAGTGGTCGGGCTGACAATCGTAGTTTCTCAATCTCGGCTTCTTGTAAACGTTTCGCTTTTGCGCGTCTGTTTTGAAACCATATTTTAACCTGAAAATAAAAATCGTGTTGATTATTTTTAAGGTATGTTAGAATTATTAAGTCAGACTTTTGAGACAAAAGTCGTTCGGTTGGGTACCTCTCTCTCAGTACTTTTTCTATTGTGAAGTAATAGTGCTTGCGTGGCTGTTTCTTGTTTTGAAGAATGGGATATACAAGTGAAATTATAGAGTATAGTAGCATCTTCAAGAATGGCAAAGCATGAGGAGTGCCATGGGCATTATAGTGTATTCAGTGGTGTTTATAGGCAATTATCGCCTCTATCAATAAGATGAGCTGTTAGTTTGTTGGCATTCTAAGCATCATAAAGAAATTTACTAACAAAATAAGAGTGTTTACTTATTATCTTATTGTGTTATAGTCACTGTTTTGTCTTCCTTAAATATAAGATAGAAATCGAAAAATGGGAATAAAAAAGTTATAAAATAAAGATATATAAATCATCGCATAAACTATTAAATAACAATTTACTATCCAAATACATAAAAAAATAATTCAGTATAGTTGAATAAGGTAAGAACATGAATTTCTAAATGAAAACAGCACTCTACAAATTTTTTGTATCGGAAATTAAATAAAAATTATAAAGTACATTGAATTTGAAAATGTTTGGGATTAATTTTTATGTGTACGTGTAATAGTGTATACGGACCGAGTCCTGACTCAATCTATTTTTAAATAATTTTTCATGTGCCACTTTACAATAATATTGACTGAACCACATGTTGGGAAACTCACCTGTGTTTCAGTAAGCCTTAAGGAAGAGGAAAATTCAGCCCTCTCCGCTATACTCAGATACTGTTTATCCCTAAACTTCTTCTCGAGGGCGAGGAGTTGCTGCGTGGTGAATGGTGTCCGTGGTTTTCTGTTGGGTTTGTGTTTGCGGAGTTGACATCGCACTACCGGTGGACCGCTTGGCGCTCCCGCTGAGGGCAACATTATATTGTATAAATTTATAATAATAAATTGATTATAGATAAAAAAGTACTAGAGACTTCCTTATTATCAATATCTCACTTGTGTTTCTGTAAGTACAGCTATAGTTGTATGGCTGTGTAGTTTGAAGAGTGAGATGTAGTAGTGAAACTATTTGGTAAGAAGGCTGTTGCGGGTTGAACTAAGACCAATTTGATAGACACATTTCAAGTGACTTGTAACTGTCTTGGAATTGACAAAATTAAAAAATAAAAATTATTCTGAATACAAATTTAGGAAATTAAGACAAAATGGCGAGGAGATACATAACCTAGTACGTGCAGTGCCAAATTAAGAATTATTAACGTTCATAATAAACAGACAATTTCCTTACTGTACTGCGCGCATAGGTAAACATAGATATGACTCCATAGAGGCATAATATCTTAATCCTCAGGAATGGCAATGCGTGTGTGCTGTCACAGGCTTTAAAGTATATTCTGTGACGTTGATTGTGCTTTTTATAGGCGGCAGTTGTTATTTTTCATCAGATGGAATATCAGCTTGCTTGCTATTCTAAGTCGTATAACAAAAATACCTCACAGACAAATCATTCTGACAGTATTTGAATCCATATTTGGATTTGGTATTCTTATTTATACCATTTTAGGGAAAAGACTGTGTTTTATATTGGTGTGCATTATTAAAGGTTTTAATTATTCTTGGACATCAAATTTTCACAATATATTTTATCGTAAAACAGTTTTCATTGAAAAATTTAAAAATAGCTCAAAAATTACTTATTTATTCGACTGATTGGAAACGAGTTAAAAATTCCATTATTCAATTTACAGGCTAGTTCCGGTTATTTTGTTAACATTATTAGTTTGCTATGTGGCTTTGTCGCTGATATATATGATGATGTGTAGGCGGATGTGTAAAGAAACCAAATAAATGACCTGGTTTAAAATTTTTTAGAGGATCGTATGAGAAATCATTGTTTCTATATGGTCCTTTTCTCAGATGTGTATAAGTAGCTAACTCACGATGCAACTATCATACGTACATACATTTTATGTAATGCATATAATTTCAGCAGTGGACAGACAATGGCAGAGAATATAATGATCATGATACAGCTTATGAGTAGATTTTGAACTGCAAGATAACTTTAATTTTTGCTTCGCATAGAACAGTAACTTTAATCTTCACTGAATTATTATGAAACTGATATAAAGTAATCTCTATCAATCAGCTTCAAAAATAAGGAATATCTGTTCAGAATTGACGACAATGTCAATCGCGTAACATAAACATAAAAAATTTACAAACTAAGAATATTTTTGTATCGGAAGGTCCTATAAAATTAGAAACGAAAAAAATAAACGTAATTTAGTAAAAAATAAATTAAGAAACATTGATATAATCTACGAGTTATTAGAAACCTTTAGAAATAGATCAGAATGTCCATATTGTGTATTCGTTTACAGGTTAATTCCGGTTGTTATATTGACATTGTCAGTTTACTATGTGGCATTGTACCTAGTCACTGACATAAATGGTGATATGTGGGTGGTCGTGTAAAGTAGTAGACAATAACGTGACCTGATTTCTAATTCATGTTTCAGTAGTTTATTGAAAAAACAAACTATGGAAGTTCCATATTGTGTTACTGTTTATGTCCTTAGATATCCGTCATCTGCTTTCTCATAATTTTAACTATTATTGATTGCCTGTAAAAGATCGTTTATAGCGATAAGGCTGCTTATTGATTTATCATTGTGATTTTTTTCTAGTAATTATTTGTTTTTTCTAAATTTTCCGGTGGTAACCCTGACAAATATAAATACAATACAAATTAATATGTACAAATATCTAGATTTGTATTGCTTTTAAAGGAAAGAATTGCAAATATGAGTATTTATCTGTCTATGTCGTAATAAAGGATATACTGTAGCTTTAGATCCAGGTGATTGATATGATAGTATCTACCTAAGTTGTGTGGTATGTATTATCACAATTAAAACCCGCTTTGATTAAGGACACTTTGTCATTGGAGGATCAAAGTTTAATGAACGCAATAATAGAGGCCATTACCTTTATATACGATTACTTTACATGCAGATGTGTGTAGGTATTTTACTACTCATAAGGGATGGTCCTTAAGTGAAAATCAGAGACATGTATAAATATTTCAAATTAATATTATAAATAACTGAGTCCAGCCCGTTGTAGCGTGTGGCCCACGTTAATTGTGACGAAAAGTATTCTATTGTATAACATAGATTTTCCTAGATTAATATTTAAGATTTGGCATTTTTTTATAAATTTATTATGGCATTTAATGATTCTTATCAACTTTCCATTGCTGAACATAAGCCTCCCCATTAGGGGGTTTTACTAGTAGCTGTTATGTTTGGCAGGTGGAGTGGCAAACGCAGTTAGGCTTTGGAGATGTTTTAAGAGGGACGCTGCTGCCCATCCCTCATCCTCTCTTAGTCGCCTCTTACGACACCCACGGGAAAGGAAGGGGTGGTCTATTCTATGCTGAGACCACACAGCCAGGCAACTTATTGTGTATTGAATACTAATAATATGTATGTATATGAATAGGCTATTCGTTGATCCGCAAGCTCTATATTTTTTTAGAAACTCTGTGTTCCTACTGTTTGGAACCGACGTGTGTCGCTAATGGAATTCAACTAACGATGGTATGTATACAGTGTGTTCATTTGTTTTGTTTTAATATTTAGATTTATTTAGTTGTTTGGGTATTAGAAGTATTATTAATATTGTTATTAATTGTATATATTACTATTTTAAGATTATATAATATTTAATATTGAGTAATATGTATTTTGCTGTGTGTGATCCGGCATAGAATGGGCCACCCCTTCTTTTCCCGTAAGTGTCGTAAGAGGTGACTAAGAGTGGGCGAGGGATGGGCAGCAGCGTTCCTCTTAAAACATCTCTAAAAGCTTAATTGCGCTTATCAACCCGTCTGCCAAGCGTGGCAACTACTGGCAAAAGTCTCCTTATGGGGAAGGCTTATGTCCAGCAGTGGAAAGTTAATGGCTGAAACAATAATAAATATGTATTTTAATCCGCTATATTTTTTGTATTTACTGTATCTGACTTGCGCCTCCTACCTTTTCTCTGTACTTATCTATTACTTTAAGTAAGGTTGTCTGTAAGAGATTACCTTTAGCGATAAGGCTGCTTTTGTATTTTCATATTCTGTACCAATATACTAGTATCTTTTTTGTGTACAATAAAGAGTTTATTATTATTATTTCAAAATTTCCTTCTTTTGCACTGGTGCTATTGGAGTATGGTGTTTTGTTGTATTGGACGCCATGTACATTTTGGAGACGACAAGATGTTTTAACATATGACATTTTTTCTCCATCTCTTGCGAAATGACACTAATATATATGTTTATATCTATCTATCGGGTGCATTATATTGCACATTTGACAAAACCAAATTAAACGCATTAGTTAATTTATCAGACGGAAGTTAAACAATGGCTTACCAAGTCTATACGATTATTATACAGTCCAATGAATCGATGTTTTAATATTCAAATGGATTAAATCGATTTAACATCGATATTATCCGGCTAATGACACCGCATTCGGGTTTAATTAATGTTGATAGGGAACAAAAGGTTGCTATAACCTGTGCTGTAACTATGGACACCTATATGAAGATATTATATAATTGTAGTTATAGTTTATGTTCTATACTGTGACTACCTGTTCTGATTTTATGGACAATTTGTTATATCAAGAATATACTGGTATAAAGAATACTTTAGCTGGAAAAATTAAAGGATCAAAAAAATTTCGATACGACGATAATGAAATCGAAGTTAAATGTTAATAGTTAACACCCTATCTAATTCATAAGGTGGTTAAATAGAATTTTTTTTCAAGTCGGTACACCAATAATAAGATCGAAAAAAAAAACTCGACATTTTTTTTCATGATATTCATTAAGATTGTGCGATACGTGTTACTTGGAAAATTTATTTTTTGCAAGAACCAAAAATTAGAAATTTCAAACTTCAAATTGCAAATTTTTTTACTCCAATACGACCATTTTTATCAAAGCCATTTAAAAATATTTAGATTTTTTTTATGTCTTAATTTTTTCCGCTAGTAATTATGATATGAAGAAAATTATTCTTAATCGATGAGCGTGTGTGAATAAATTAAAAGATGTGAAGGAATGACAGAGGTCTGTTTGTGTCGGAGCATTTGGCAATCCATTATTTCTGTTTATCCCAATGAAAGATAGGCATGACGTATACATATGTATGAAAAAGATGTCGCTGAGTCCTCCCCCAATAAGAGGAGGTATTATTTCATATTATTATTAGTCACTATTCTCTAAATTTCAATTCAGAGTTCTAACATATTTAAGTCGGGGATGTATCATAAACTTAGGAACAAATTGCCATATTGTCATCATTATCACCTCAGCCATTATCATTTCACTGATGATCATAGGCTACCCTCATAGACTACCACAAGGAACGGTCCTGAGCCACCCGTATCCACTGCTATGCATTTGAGGTCATCACTACATTTAGCAGTGGTCGTCCTACACTGCGTTTGCTCGTACGGGGTCACCACTCAAGAAAATTCCTTGCCATATTGTATTATTATTAAAGTATAATTTAAAATGCATGCTCGTTAATGAAGTTTTGTCTAATACAAAATAGACAACAGTGTCATATACATTTCCTAAACTACATACAAAACAAGTGAATATAAGGATGTAGGTAGGTAAGTATGTAATATAAACGAAACATATTGATGTGTTTGACGCACCTATTTAAATCAGTTGGAATGTTAACATTTCAATTTCCTGAAGGAATAATGTTTGAATTCGATGAATATTCGGCGGGTGACCTCTTAATTATAATTCCAACCTTAGCATGCAAAACATCTAAAGCAAAGAAATTACAAAATTTGTTATAATTTACCATGGTACGGTACAATAT